AATTTTGGAGTAAGTCCTAACCTACCCGTTTGTCCCGTACCGTTCCGGATTCGCCAATTCAAAGGCTCGTAAATTCTATTTTCTACGAATTGACTCGGTAAAAATATATATCACGAGCATGTTCAAGATCATTGCATTCAAATAGAAAATTCATTATAAGCTATACAAAATGGAGCATCGTCTCCTGTTTAAAGGTAAGAATGTGTACTTTAGTATGTCCAATTCTACATCTAAGAAGAACAACTTGATTGTGACAGTTAAGGAGAGATAGTAATGTTGATTTTTCAAGACAAGTTAGGGAAAGTTAATACAGCTTTGTCCCAATTTGGTTTCCATTCGGAAGGAATATATTTATTTACCAAGGATTAAATAATTGTTAACGATAAATCTACTTGATGAGAATTTCAGAATTCCTTATCCAAAGCATTGACATTTTCATTACCTCGTATTTTTTCGTGGATCCAACATGATTTGTCTGATATAGTTTTTAAAGTATCATAAAATCGCAAAAGGAGTTTCTCCTTACTTTCGATTTTTACATAATGGCACGGCCTGTGAATCTGAAGAATTATCTACCATTATGTTGTGAAAAGTATAAAAATGCTAAATAAATAAATGGCTTTCATTTCTGCAGTAAATATAGATGCATTATCAGGTAGCCTTAGCACAGATGTAAAATGATTTTCAATGACGGCTTTTACTGTGTAAACCATCCTTTAAGCAGTCCGTGTAAATTTAGATAAAATCTTCATGTTCTTATTTGAATATGGAAAATTTGATAATTTAAACTTAAACGGCTAATTATGCTTGTCAAATTAACATGCCAACAAGTATTCCACGTGGCATTGGAGTGAGCCGGTACAAGAAGTTGTCAATTATGCACACATTTCCTGTATTCAATATATTGTAAGAATGACCGTTTATCTACTGGCAATCGTGACTTTCTATTCTGTCCGATTCCTAAAACTATTTTTTACACATTTTCCTTTAATTTATTGGCAGATGTCTTTCATATTTGGCAGGAAGATAACTTGCATAACATTCTTCGTTTTTTGTTTTGTTTTTTTTTTTCGTTTTTTTTTAGATAGCGATCAATGGGTCAAGGTCAAGGGTGTCAATGATATTTGAAAGGATAACAACTTGCACTTGGTTTTCTTGCACTTGACTGGGGTAGGGGTCAGTTGGATCACGGTCACCTGTGCTAAAGAAAGATTTTACTATTTAGTCAATACAGCCTTTTTTATGGACAGATGTCTTTAATATTTGATTGAAATATATCTTACACATACCTTTACGAAACCATTTCAGTAAGTTATCTAAAGACAAAACTGTCTATTTAAGCATCATTTTTTGTAAATTATCTTATGGATTTGTTGTTCACGCTGGTGCGGCTCGAATATGCAGTGGTGATAGGTAAGTGGTTTGAAGTCCTTAACAACACGGCCACGGACGCCCTTATTGGCTTTTCAATAGTCCGGGTCTCCTATGTACGACATTATAAGGCGCAAAAGAACTGATTAATGAACGCATTCTATTACATAGAACCACCGACAAGCAAGGAAATCCATTGCACAAATTCAGCATTTTAATGATTAAACAAAAAAGAGCCTCATTGGGAAACTTCGTGTTAGCCAATTTAGGATAAATAGAGATTATTGAAGCATTTAGAGTTATTCATCCGTAGCTTGTTCCAATGATTGTCACCAACTACTTAATTCTATTGGGTAATTACATTCTTTTTAAACATGTACAACTTATGAATAACATATGTTGCATGAATAAAACAGAAAATCAAGATTTCTAATTGAAAGTTTTGTCTGTTTTGTTTCTTCCTCTAGTACTCAATCAGTACTCAGTAAGGTTGCACGCATGCAATATAAACAATTTGAATACTGCAATTTCATATCGCGTTTGATTGATTAAGCGTATTTGTTAAAGTTGTGTGTATCATAAATAATGAAAATGTTAGACAACGGATATGTGGACCTCCCTTTTATCTTGTATGGTTTAAATTCCTGTTTACGTCACATGATCTGAATTATAAAACTTATTTAAACATGTGTCACCTGAATAAATATAGGTGTTCTTTGGGACTTTTATTCATCGAAGAGATATAAATTATAGAACGAAATATCAATCGTTTTGTCTATCCGGGCATACATTCAATAGTTTATGAGCTTCTTTCTGTGCATCATGTAAGTTTTAGAAAAAAGGAAACCAGGTAAATACAGAAAAACATTTCGCGACTTGACTGTGTTTGAAGTGTCTAGGTTCTTTCTATCTGAATATTTTCTTACTTAAGTGGTACCTGTTTAATTATCCCTAGGATAGATTACCTGCTTTTTACATTTGTCTTTAGAAAAATGATTTGAGATGCAGGTTTCATAATTTCTGTTCCCTTTCAAAATTCAATTTTATTTAGTTCCGCCTATTGATTTCTCGTTTTGGGCACACCCATAATATAAGGACGTGTCATTCTCACGTGTCCGAAGACATGATAACCGTCGTCAGAATACATATGCGGATGTTTATGGTTTCACGATTTATGAATAATAAATTGTACTCATACTTGGTATATAGCAAGCTTATGGAAGACCTCGTTTGCAATTGCTTTTAGACCCCCATGTGTACGATCAATATCATTTGACTTAAAATAGTTTTGACTATTTTTCTACTTGTGAGTAATCATTTTGGGACACCGATAGACGGTCATAAACGTCAATCAATACAGGTCGAGTACGAAGTTGGCTTCAGACCAATAATTTTACCCATAATTATTGCTCCTTCTGGTCTTCGTTTTTCAATGATATTTCATTTTTTACTTAAATAATGGTAAATATTCGATTATATATTTTTAAACAAGGCGATTAAGTGTAATCATTATCTGTACAAAGATCAAACATCAGTAAAGTATAAAGTATAGCTCGAATATTAATTTGGCTTCAAACGAATAATATTTGAACAAGAGGGTCATGATGGCCCTGAAGTCGCTCACCTGTATATAGGCCCCCGGAGCGGGGCCAGTTTAAACCCATGGCTTTTGTTTGAACAAACTCGGTAGACATCCATTAGAAGATATTTCATGCTAAACATCTAAGGTCTAGCTGGTCAAGTTTTTTCTTTACACATATAGTTAAAAACAATGATACACCTGGGGCAGGGCCAATTTTGACCCAAGGGCTTTTATTTGAACAATCTTTGTAGACACTTACTAGAAAATGTTTCATGCTTAATATCTAAACTCTAGCTATTCGGGTTTTTTCAAGGAAGATTTTTAAGTTTAATTTGCTATACACATATAAGGAAAATCAATGTCCCCCAGGGCGGGGCCAATTTTGACCCCAGGGCTTTTATTTGAACAAATTTTTTAGACACTCACTAGAAGATGCTTCGTGCTTAATATCTAAACTCTAGCTATTCGGGTTTTTTCAAAGAAGATTTTTAAGTTTTTGCTATACACATATTAGGAAAATCAATGTCCCACGGGGCGGGGCCAATTTTGACCCCAGGGCTTTTATTTGAACAAACTTTGTAGACACTCACTAGAAGATGCTTCGTGCTTAATACCTAAACTCTAGCGATTGAGTTTTTTCAAAGAAGATTTTTAAAGTTTTTGTTATACACATATAAGGAAAATGAATGACCCCCGGGGCGGGGAAAATTTTGACCCAACTTGCAAGGGCTTTTATTTGAAAAAGCTTGGTAGACACTCACTAGATGATGTTTCATGCTTAGTATCTAAACTCTAGCTATTTGTTTTTTTTTCAAAGAAGATTTTTGTCTGTGGGATTTAAAGATCTAAAATATTACCCAATAAACGTCAACACAGTAAGAACGACGTCAATCCGACTGTCTGTTACAATCGTGTCCAAAGAATCAAAATATAAGAAACATAATGACAGAATTTTGGTAAAACTTCACTCGGTGATAGAGAACAACGGCATCAAGAACCGTGACACATTAATAGAGAACAATGGCTTCAAGAACCATAAAACTATCATTATAAGTGTTTGAATGATCTCCTTAAGTATAAATTCTTATCTGAAGTATTAATGGGGAAACTAGGTCACATAGTCCAAAAACATTGTTACAACCCTAGAGGCTGTTGTTTCGGTTCAAATATCTTTAAAATTATTCAGATTATTTCTAGCTTAACCCTTTACCTCATATATACGCGAAACATCGCACTTTCGACCCCCCCCCCTTTTTTTAGGTCTGGAATAGTGAGAAAAATGTCCTATTGGGGCCCCAAACACATGTTTTCGTTTGAGAAATGTTGCTAAAAAAAAGTGAGCACTTTTTCGGCGCCGCCCCCCAGCAAAATGTTTGGGGGGTTTGAAGGGGGGTGGAGTCCCCCTCATCGCTTAGAAAATTTTGGACTTGTGAGAGGCTTAAAATGACCCCAGGTCGATAATAAGGTAAAGTGTAACCAACGCTGAAAAGCCTTTGACTCTATCTCAATCCCTTGAGAAGTTGCAGCACTTTGAAATAAATTTTGATGGAAAAAATCGAGGCAAAATAGTGATTTTTGGCAATTTTGAGATATCCCCTCGTTGCCATGGTAACAGGAAATTTAAGACTGAGCATGTCGTTACAAAGGCAATGGTCCAGTCAACATTTGTGCCAAGTTTGATTAGTATTGAAGCATTTTTCATAGTTTCATAGCAGTTTGAACTTGTAAGAGGAGGCTTTTCAGTGAAAATGGCAATTTTTCACAATATGCTCAAGGGGGAAAGGGTTAAGCTCGAATATGGGTCACCTGGGGTCAAAAAATAGGTACACAGTCGAAAAAATGGAAAAACTTGCTAAAACAGTCAGAGTCCAAATATCCTGGAATTGGTCAGAAAGGTTGTACGGGTGATTTGTAGCTGTAAGCAGAACATGGGTCAAATTTAAAATACTAAATTATAAATGAGAACATAATACAATGTAATTGTAAATTATTTCAAAACACCAAGTACGTGTATAGAAAACTTTAAAATGATGAACAAGACTTCAAATGTTTTGTAGCATTTTATTTGACGGACACGAGCGTGGTGAAATCTTTTTAACATATAATCATGAAATGTATGCTGTTGATTCAACAATAAGGAAACAAGTAATCTGACAATTATAAAAACAACAAGTTCATATCGAATTTAAATTGTTAAAATACAATGTACATGGCGTAAATTATTTATTGAATAACGATTATTTATGGATCTGTTGATACAAAAATAAAATATGTTTACATTACAAAATACACTTTGCATAAACTTCTAATCTAACAGAAACTACCAATTTATGAAAGATAAATTCAATCTGCCCACTCAAGGCTAAACTTTGTATCTCGGTATATGCATGAAACATTGTATCTGTTACTTACATAAACACAGCCACTGTTAATCCCTGGGTGATCGTAAGAGACTAAACGGGTTCGAATATCTGGAGTCTATGCATCTTTTATCTCCAGCAGTAAGACCCCTGGTGTTGCTTTCAGTTTGTAACATCCGAGGTTAGCAAAATAATCATTTCTGGTCTTTTGGTCCCAACTGTGTTAGTGCGCCGTAAAAAAGTTATTTAACAAAAAAAATGAAGATACTTGTCAGTAACACGTGAAAGATCTCCTCGCTGGTACAATATATTTCAATTTCAATATCTAGCAAAACGAAAACTTACGGTAGGCTAGAAAAGGAAGAAATCAGAAAAAATTGATATTTGTAATTTCGCTAATTATTAATCACCTATATCTATGCTGACAACTATAAATATATATAAAACAATGTCCCGAATTATGTCATTTGTGTAAATATTAAGATATAAGGTTAAAAGTTCCTTATATGTACTGAAGAAAATTAATGTATAATATTATTTCAAATACTTCTTGACACCGTATCACACTTTGTTACGTCTCGGGCTTTCATATTTTTGTTTTGTCGTGACGTCGCGTTTGAAGGGATTCGACATAAAGTAACAACGAAACGATAAAAACAGTGCGACAAAACGATAAAATACATTTTTGTTGTTCTTTCGTTCATCGGATTGTCGCCATTTCAATTGCGACAAGACGAAGTTAGGACATGGCAGAAATCAGCAACCATACTTTTATGATGGTAACCAAAACTTTATTCGTTTTATGAAGATGGAAAGTTTTGAAAGTCTATTGGTGTTCGAAGTCGTATACTTTTCAATTAAACAGTAATAAATGCAGAACAATTTGACCTTCATTAAAATAACATATTCATATTTATACCTTTTTTGTTTTTTAAAAGCTCTATTTTAGATTTCTTTAAAGTTATGAAATAGAATATTGCTTTTTTTAAATTTGTAAGACTTTTTCTGCTTAAGTTAAATGTACATGTAGAGTGTCCTTAAATTGTTACATTATTAGAACATTCGCATTAGCAACATTTACTATTTTGCGTATGGTACTACAGGCACGCGAATCTTTGCATGTTTGCTTGTAAAAAATGTTTTGGTTAGTCATTAATCTATGACACAAAACACGTTTTGATATTTCTATTCTACTCAAAGTAAACTATGCTAGACGTTAGTATAAATTGTATTCATTTCTGTTTCTAAATTCATCTGATCTTGTTTTTTGAACATGTAAGATCTGAGTGACTACCCAGAGGAACGCGCCTAGTCACGTTGACGTCACTTGTGTGCTCATGCCTTCATACGATTGAACAGCCCGTTGGTCTTTTTGCCCGCAATTGAACAGTTTGCGATTGAAAATGATGAATATAAGAGGATTACAGGCACTGTTTAGTGGGTATAGACAGCCAAATATCAGATTAGCTTTCATTCCAATTTTTTCTGGGTTATAGATCTTCATTAACATAACTACGAAATATGGTGTCCAGCATATAAAGAAAGCTGTAAAGAAAAAAAAACAAATGTTTATTAGTTACACCAAGAACATTTAAAGATATTCTTATCTTATTTTATACTACGTGGATTATTAATTATACTTGCACATATAAATCAGATTGTGTTCACAACTCATTTAACATATATCAAAGAATATGAACATACTGAAATGAATAATTACATGTATACATGCTTCTCTTATTTAGAATAATGATAATTAAAAATATTTTTTAAAAAATACAGGAAAGAATTTTAACGATATAGGATGATACATGATTTCATGAAGCAAATGCTTTGTTTACTTCCCAGAATGATACATACCTAAACACACGACCAACGTCATTTTAATGCTCTTTATCTTAGCCCTTGGTAGGAGTCCTTTGCTTAATGATTTATCACCATGAAGTCGATCTAAATTGATAAAATAACAAAATGAGTTTACACAAAGACATATTTTACTTATCTAAAGCATGTCTTTCTGCAGGGAAAATTGCTAATGAGTAAAATATTAATTTCTATTCGTGAGAATTATGTTTTGTATTTTGAATTGTAAGCTCTTACTTCTGAAGTTTACATTTCTAGGAATAAAGTCAATACGTGCGATATCTGATCAATTTGCTTATGTTTATTTTTCAGCCTATTCTGAAGTATATTTACATAGATTCAAATCCTTGTTTTTTGCAGTAATTATATCGTTTATGCTTGTATATTCTTATTCAGATCTGTCTTTTAAACTATGTCATCAGTTGATATCTATAATTCAATTCACTTATCGATACTTGGATATTCTTAATTCATCGAATTATGAATGACACTTCATATGTCTTACCACTGCTTTCATTCGTGTCTATCTCCGATAATTTTAATCTTGAACGCCATTTCATCCAGACTACGATACATATACCCACATAACACCCTGTTATACCGATTGTTGGTAGCACATAGATTATCACAACAACTGTTAAACCGTACGGCTGTAAAACATAAAATAAAGTAAAATTATACTTTCATTGGTTTTGTTTTTTGCAACAAGTCTTTTACCGACGAATTGTCAATTTAATGATTTGCAGCTTTTTGAAACAACATTAGTTGTTAGCAATTATGATAACGGTCAAGCTTTGTGCATCTTTCAATAAAACAAACTCTCTAAATAAGATAAGAATATATCAAAAACAATAATAATTTGTAGCAATATATCTGATACAGTAGCCCAAAAATTGGTATATATCTATATTAAAGATGTTTCTGTTATTTACATTGATGTAGTTGTTGCTGTTATATTTTTTTACATTTCTGTATTCTAAAATATTCATTTATTTAAGGTTAATATATGTTTAATAATCTATGTATTACCTTCCACCAGCTTTCAGGCATGTTGATATTACAACTACCCTTTTGTTCATATATATCAGCAGCATCGGGGTTTGCATTGATTCCTCGACTGAAGGGTATGAAAAAGCTTGATACCAACAAACTTAAAAGCCATGCCCCAAATACCATACCTTTGTCAAGATACCTGCATGCACCTGCAAAGATTTGATCCGTACGTATATTTTATATGGTTTAATATGGTTAAGATTCCAGTTCTTCAAATATTTGTTTCATAAAGTAAGTAGTTTTAAAACTTTATATTAACTTGATATTGATCCTAATAATCAGAACAGCATCCGCTTTCATTGTTTAATCTTGAAATTCATCTAAAGTTATAGAAACTCCTGTTGGTCTGGTGAGTTATTGATTATTAATGTGTAATGAAATAATGAATTGAAAAAAAACAATCATTTTAAAATTTAGAGCAAATAAGTCATTTTTTCAGTCCACTCCCTATTTACACATTGATCGGCATATTGTCACTTTAATAAAGATATTCAAAAATTAGACGAAACAGAGTTATGAAAGGGGTAACCAGTTTAAGACAACATTTTTTTTCGTTAACATTAGCCGACTCTCAATAAAAGAAACATTAAAGCCTCTAAACTGAAGGTGAGTTTTTCTCTGAAGAAAGGACAAACCTTGTTTTGTTATTTAAATAAAAGGTAAGGAGCAAATTATATCCTTATGACATGACTAAAATAATTAATGTTAAATAAATAGCCATTAAAATATCAAAACGTAAACATAGTAGTTATCTTGTCTTGTTATGACTATGGCTAATGGATAAATGAATCAAAATTTGGCTCAGAATATAGCCAGCAAGTTACAAGGTGTAAGATAATGTGCAATTTAAAAGACTTTTAAATTAATTAAAATAACGACATTTTAATGTTTCATGTACTTTTAATAAGATATTTAATGAAACATATCTAAAGAAATAACGACCTTATCAGTATTATCACAGTGTTCAAATATGTTATCTAATTGTAATTTACATTTATCATATATGCATATATCCAAAAGCATTTGATTACATTTACAAGTTTCATAATTCTTGAATGTGCCAAAAAATAAAATAAATAAAATTGATCTGTGCTTAGAGGCCTGTTATGCCAAAAATATTTTTATTTTTAGTTTCTTTTTATTATTCTAAAAACATTACTAATTGGCCAATTATCTGAAGCATTATTCGCATTAGTTGCTTTTTGGCAAGTTGTACAGCTATAAATGTTTATTATTTTGTATGGAAGTCAGAATACTGCTTTGTTTACATTAATTTATATATACTACATTGACTACGAATATTTGCACATTTAACGACACTATCTTCAGCTAATATGCATCAAACATGCTCTTAAAGCATTATTTCAAACGCAATAAGAATGATATTTTTTTTCTTTTCAAAAACTGGATAAATTCGGAAGTATTAATCACAACAAGATTACATGAAAATTTCAGACTCGGTTTGATTGAGTCTGCATATGAGGGATAATGAAAAAGTCCCTCATGTGGAGACGGGAAATTTTATTCTCTTCTGTGCAAAATGTGCCTTTAAGTCAGTGCTTGACTCTAGGGCAGTTTTGACCAGCTTCTTCCGTTATGCTTACTTGTATCGGGATTGAAGCAAGCGGTGATTTAAATATCAAAAGGAATATAGAAAAGTGTCAGTTAACAAATACTATTTAATGATGATTAGATCTGAGTTATCATTAATTGAGTGTGTCTGTAAATGTCGAATACTGATTATTCAGAAATACATGTATGTATATATTGATAAAATAAGAAAAGAAATCAAATGGAAAGAAAACATACCTATTCTAACAACATTCAGTGGATATTTGATTGCCAGAAACCTGTCTACACTCATACCGATCAGAAGATTATTGGAAGCAATAAGAGCCATTGGTGAAATAAAACGAAATATTCTACACAAAAAGTCCCCACCATACCATTCATTGTGCATAGCACTATGTATACCATCTCCAAGAACACTGCAGAAACCCACAAGAAAATCTGAAATTTGATAATCATAACTAATATTCATAAGGTGTGGAAAAACTTTTATTTTTTTTTATTTTAGTTTGATTTTTACTCTTTTTTTGTTCATTAATAGTTCCTAAATGCATGTTAGATTTTAAATATTCTAATTCTTTCTTTCTGTAATGAATAATAACATTTATATTCTTTAACGATCCTGTATGTTGTGACCAAAGTGGTAAACCACAGTAAGTGAAATTATATATATGTACATAATTATGCAAATAAAACAATTATTAAACATTGAAGAATATGTAAAATATGTACTGCAAATATTTGTGCATATTATATGTTATCATTAAAATATATGCATTTATTTCTTATTGTAAAGTTTGACTTAAACTTAATAGATAATAAAGTTTTTATTACCTCCGGTAATATCTTTATAAATAATGCTTTTTTACAATATTGATAAATCTTAATTTGAGCATCATATTTATGATTTAAAACCATAAAAATTGTGTTAGAGTATCTTTTAAGTATCAAGTTGAATAAATCATATACATGTATATTCGTTTCTGTATAAATGTGTTAAGGCTGTTCAAAATCTCTAAACTATATTATTCTTAATCGTTTATCTTGATTTGCTTAATGTAGGATATCATTACCACTACATGTTCACGGCTGATTTTGTTAATTATTTTCTTCTTACGAAAGGGCATACACTCAATAAATAGAAACCTCACACCATCCATCGGTTGTTGGCTTATCAACCTAGATAGTTAGATAGACAGAAAGGCGGAAGGATGGATGGATGGGAGGATGGATGGAACCGAGGCTAGACATTTTTAAACGCGAGTTTTTAAATGTACCGTAAGTTTGTATCTTTGAGTGAAAGTATGTTTTGTGAATATGCAAATTTGATTTGAGATTATAAATTTCAAGCAAGCTATTTGTCTTCATATATAAGATATATATAAATATTGCTACGGATATGTTTATGTAAATAATTTTACAGCTGGATATATTTATGATATTGCATAAGTGTAAGTTTAATGCTGAATTTATTGAACAAGTTGAATAAAATGTTATTGTGTGAGCCTGTGGCAAACATAATATTACTTAATTCAACGAGTTCAATAGATTCAGTAATGAACTTATACCATTTTTTATAATTTATATATCACATATAAAAAATAAAGACCGTTTGAAAAAGAGCCATGTTTTATTGACGCAAACGCTAACATTTGGCGTGACTTAACGCTATGATTATATAGCGCTAATAATGGCACGTCAAAATATATGCATGACCGTGCAATACCATGTTTACAGGGTCGCAAAAGCGGCACAGGTATTTGAAAAAATGGTATATTTGATAAGTTACATGTACTAAATTCAGATAATGAATAAAGAGAAATGATTTAAAATGTGCAACGACAATTGCATTACATGTTTTAAATACGTATGTGTATCTAAGATTAATTTGTTGAAGTTACATGATATATTTTCTTACCTGCTATTGCTAAATGCAGTACAAAAAAGAAGAGGCGACTCTTTTTCTGTTTTCTAAAGACGAGGATGAAAATCACAAATCCATTCAGACAAACTATGATTGTGAACAAAAGTAAGGAAATTGTAGCAGCAGCTTCTTCATATGGCTGAAATATACAAAATAAATGTTTTGTTTTTTTAGTTTTATTCACATTATGAACATATTTATAATTTTTTCAACAAATACATATATTATACAAATCGTGAGTTTATTACAAAACGCAAATAGTAAGGCAACACGTTCTAGCAATATCACATTAAATTAATATTAGTACACAGCAGCTTGAATGCAGAGTATTATATACATATAATTTGTACAAAAGGTTCTTTACTGATTTGTTTTTTTTTTCAAATGGACAAATGAAGATGATAAGGCAAATGTTCATTATAATACGTTCCACACTGACATGATTACCTATATAAAAAAAGTTCGAAATTCTAATTGCATGGAGGGTCGGAAGTGCTTTTGTTCAGTATTGAACAAAACAGAGATCACACTAAACCTTGTGAATGAATATAAGTTTTTGTATTGAAGTGAAAATAAGATTAGTCTACGTTGTATTCAGATAAAGAATTATGCAATAATAAGACTCTGTTTTGCATAATACATAATGCTTGTTTTAAACCTTAGTAATCATAAATCTTAAGCAATATTTGTTTCACAATGCGGCAAGCTGGGGCAATAATAGCTTCTCAAAGAAAATAGTTGTACTGTATGTACACATATGTACACTTTGTCAATTTTAAACATATAATTTTGGTTACCATTAAGACGTTATAATATTTGTAAAGCAATTTTTATATTTAAAATGAGTTTTAACGAAATTGTAGTCTTAGTTACTTTGATATTCAAACAAAGTACATGTACCTTTAATTGAACGTGTCTTTATGGACAAGAATCATTTTATATTTTTATTCGGGAATCATGAGTTAAAGAACATGCAAACGTGAGTTTAATGATCAAATACACATGAACAGGTAGATATTCAGAGACACATTTTAAAGTTTTCCATAAATAATTTGCTTTATTTTTCTTGTCGGAACTTAATTCACTGGTAATAGACTGGGGTGAAAACGAACATCTGTTAACTGAAAGCCATGCTATTTCGCATAAATGTCATTATACGTATAAATCGAAAGATAACTAGTCATGATTTTTTGAGTTGTTTGAAATTAATTACAGAAATACATTTAGATACATTTTATGGTTCTTCTTCTTTGCCTCTGTGCAAAGAAAGAGCAGATAAAACGACTTTATAAACACACTAGTGTAAGTCACACAGAAATCCTTTTCAGCTTTATCCTCAAACAAATTCACCTTACTTACTTTATTGACAATCTTGCTACACAAAATCGTTGTTTTCGCCAATCAATTTGACTCGAAACCAAAATTTGCAGATCGAGTTTTGAAGGTTAAAGTATCGTTTAGATATGTTTTCTATCTTGCGGCATTAATTTAATAATGAAACACTTTAATGTCATAATCATTCAAACGATGTGTTATTAAAAATATTATATTCTAATGTTTTAAGCCGTTAGTTTATTTCATAAATTATCTGCATCCAGTTGCTGTTCTTTTTTCTTTATTGATTTTATGAATAAAATATGAGTTCGGATATGGCATGGTATTGACAACATTAGGTATCGTATAACTTTGAAGTATTAATCAAATGGTCGTAAGTAATCATTTGAGCATGTATTTTGATGGCTTGTGTATCTTTTCTAAAATGCAATACTTCCATAATTCAATTGATAGCACATTTGTTTATACATCTGTCATTTTTTCAGTCACGTTTGCGATAAGCTCTTTAATGAATAAAATAGTTATTGGTTTGAACAAATGAATTTGCGATAGGTTAATGCTTTATTATTTTCAATATTTCCACACTGTCTGAGTAATTATTTTTAATTATAACAGTTCAGCATTGAATTTAACATTATTTATAGAGTTTGACACAATAGAAAACAATAAAGGTCACATTGGTTCAGCAAAATAGTCACTATAAACAGTAAATATTTTTCAAATAATTGCGAAGGTACTTGGGATAAACATGTTTATGATGATTGATAATTCATTAAAAATCAGTTTTAATTAAGATCCAAAACAGATATATTTGTACTTCATTGTTTTTCGTTACATGGCTTTAGTTGTCCATGAAAACATTCCATGTGTTAAAAAACCGGACCATTGTATCACGCAGTTTAATTAGTGATAGTTGAATATCTAAGACAATATTTGCTCAAAATAATCTTTTACTTCATGCAAACGTATACTTTTGTTGTTGTTGAGGTGGTGGTGGTGGTGTGTTTTATTGTTTTTGTTATTCTTTTTTGAAAATGATATATAATAAATTATACATGTATAATTCTTTAATTATATTTAATTCATTGTTTATATTTATTTAATGAAATTTTGAGCACGTGTCAATTCAGTTATTTTGTGTAGAAATTTTGCGTTTGAAATACGCTTCTATCAAATTACAGTTTCATTGTTAGAGGCACTAGTAACACTTGCTTTGTTTTAATAATTCCATACGAATGCAGCATTTCAATTTCAATGAAAATAAATTCCTAAATGGAACAAAATAATCTAGCTGGACCGTTGTTTTCTTTACAATTTCTAATTATATTATTTACATTTATTATTTGTGAGCCAAAGCATATTAATATGTACTGTAAAATTATTATAATTATTATAAGCTTTTTATTACTCTGACGGTGTCCTTTAAACTAGGTGTTTATGAGCATATTATTGATTTATTTAAAGAAATCAATGGTATGTGTTCCCCTTTATTATTTATAAATTACTTTATGACATTATACCTTTCTCTCGACTATATAAGCTCGAAAAGGTTTTAAAATCCCAAGCAGAGCAACCTGAATGTATTATAAACGAATCCTTGTATACTGATTGTTTCCTTATTTAATTCAATCTGTCGAAATTTGAATCCACACTCTTTTATAAATTAGAAGAAAACGAAATATACCGTTTTATCCTTATTCATCAATGTTCAACTGAAACAAAGACTACCGGAAGCTACTGAACACAACTATCTGAACGGTATTTGGACTTAACACATCTGTAATGTTTTAAACTTGGAAAATGATGGACATGTTTTCTTAAAATATATATTTCAACAATTCGGAATTATCTAAACAACATTGATATTTATATAACATTTTCTTTGACCAATCGTTGAATATGCAGATGTTGCTTGATGCAATTAATTGCACACTGTGTGAAACTTGTGAGGTTAATAAAACTTTTTAAGTGCAGGTCAAAAGTAAAAATATATGTAAAATGCATTAGAACTTAATAGCATTTTTAACCAAAGTATAAAATCAGTGATATAGTCTGATTTTATTGACCTGTCAATTATGAATACATTATAGCACTCATTTAAATATCCGATTTCACTTTGGTTCTGTCCGTTTAGATTACGAGGATTAATTTGGAGAATATGACTAATGTTTGGAACAGTCACACTATCTGAATGTTCAAGTCATATCCTTATTAGCGCATCACCTCCTTATATCAAGTCATATCCTTAATAGTTGAGTGATAACCTAATAGATTAGAGGTCTATGGTTCGATCCATACTTTTGCCATTGTTTAAGACAATTTTTTTTAATTTATTTTTGAAGTATATTTTAATGAATAGGGCTTGCAAATCAGTCCAAACGGATATGGAATAACTTAAAAAACAGAGATTTGTCTGTTTTGTATTGAATTTTATGGCATTAAAATTACATTTATTGATGTTAATTTTAAACTTAAACCATGCTTTTTAAAATGTTGATGGTATTTGCCAAAATAACTGAAAAACATAAAAACGCACAACGAAAAAAAATCAATCATACCTTCAATGATGCGGAAAATATGAATAATTAAAAAGACATATACAATCGCGGTCTAGATCTTACAACACGTGGGACATTTAGAAGTAATAAATCGGTAGTTTACCATATTGCGCTATAACGGTCATTAAACCTATTTCATAGAAACAAATTATATTCAATCAATTCTTATTGCGAATAATCTTCCGAAAATTATGATAAGCAAGATCAACAAGGAAAGGCGGCGTTCAATGAACGCAGCCCCCATCCGACCCAGTAACAAGTATCAGTGGCAAGGAGCCAAGGAGCCAAGGAGGACCCCAAACGAAGTTTACCGATCATTTGTCGAAAATAAATATATTGTGTTCATTGACCGTGTAATCAGTATGCAATTGACAGGTTAAAATTAAACAATATACGGAGCAAAAAAATGATAAGATATTTTTATACAACAATAATCTCAGCATATGAAAAGTGCTTGATAACTAAGAATTCTATTTCACTTTTTTTAATCATTTTGCAATGTTACATGAAATTATCAAACATTCATGTTTCGACATAAAAATGTCTCCATATAAAAATAAGCACGATTATCATGAGTAATAAAAACGGAAGCAAACATAAGAACTAGATAAGCTGCAGGATTACGTACTTGCCTGAAAAATTGCTTCAAAGAAATAACGTAAGAAGCCTATATTTTGATAACATTTTCTTGATCGTCGGCCAAACAGTTAAGCTTGATATAGTTTGAAAACAAATATTAGAAAAGTATGCTCATACCAACAAACATAGACAATAATAATGTAGTTTTGTGTAAATACTCTTTCCAAAGAAAATTAATAAATAAAACAATATCTATTTTATAACATCAATTCCTTTATTCCAGATTACAGAAAAGTTGCATAGATGTTTTTCAATACTGTTATCGATGAAGGTAACGAATGAATTGGTTTCAGCGGTGTATATCGACTATTTACCGCCGGTTTAGAGTGCGTAGAAATTGACCCTCGATAAGATAACAATTGCATATGCATGTAGTCCATAGCAAGTGTTTATTGTGAGTTTGTCGCCGGTTTTTCTTCTTTGTGTATGGTGACAAGATACGGGAAGTGTTAGAATTTATAATTCTATGATTCATGTTCAAACGAAGCTCTTAGCATTGCATTTTTTAAACATAAAAAAACTTGAGAATCCAATCTTAATTTTAATTGATGAAAATTGACAATTCCTTTTAGTTTATAAAGGTTTTTAAGCATCTTCGTACATCCAACGCATTTTATTTATTCATAGCTTTTTTGAATTCATCATAAAAGAACCAATGTCCATTAATAACATAAAACGTTTCTTAACTGATATTATTCCTGGACGTTTAGAAAAATACTTGCGTGAATCATTTAGCAAATGTATTACATATCTCGGCTTATCTTTTCAGCCAATTTATTATTACTTCTTTGCCTTATTCCTGACAGGTATGAGTTAAAGTATTTAAACAACAGGTTAAATTCAGCGGAAGACTTTTTCAAATAAAAAAGTTTTTGATTTACTCTACAGTTGTTCAAAAATACTCTCTTAAAAGACAAAACATTCTTCAATCTAGCACGAAACAAGTATTATAACAGGATATTCATAAACGTCATTGGCTGAAAGCATTGATTAACAGGTACGTATGTATCATGCCATAAAACTATGGTTTCTAATAGAAAATGATAGTTATATACATTTATATACATGCTCATATTGAAGTAACAATTTCACCAATTAGGTTATTGAACTTTTTTGTTAGGCTTAACATTCTGTAACAGTATGAATGATAACCCGTTAAGAAAGAAGGAAATAGCTGTTATTGTGAATTATATTATTAATGACTTGTTCGTATGAATTAAACATATGGAAATACCTTTGTTCTGTCTTTCGAACATACCCTTGATGTATTATTCATTGAATAAGGCTATGAAATGGTTAGATAATTTTCTTTGAGCAGATAAACCGATTGAAAATATTTATTTCATTTAGGTGTTTGTCTTCGAAAATATATATATCATACACGCAAACTTCATATTTAAAACTGAATGATAAACGATTATTGTAATTATGAACAATTGAAATATTAAAAAAACAATTATTTAAGATATTGAACTTATGTTGTATATATTAAAGCGCATGACAAACAGTCATTATGTATTTTTACATTTAGAATTGGTGTCTTTAATAAAGATTACGTTTCACCTTTTCAAATTATTCCGCCATGAAACTGAGTATATCTAAGCTAGATTATATTCTAAAACATGCTTTGTGAGGCTTACGCTGATATCTCATATATTTCTCCGATCCGTCTCCGAATTGAGAAAATAAACAAAATTTCCTTATCTTCTTATCCTGTCATAATATTAATCAAGGATGACAATTTAGTATTTATTTCAGCTTTGCTGTGATAATAATCCCATATGAAATGTAAATGAATGTTCCTTTATGAGCAAAGGGGTAGTTTTAACCTGATTTTATTCTCAAAGCGTCTGTCTAATTAATTACATAATCTATTTCAATGACATGCATTCATTTGTTTGTAGCTTCCTGTTCAAATATCTGGCAACATCTGTTATTGTCTACTTATAAAGTCATAGTTTAGTGTTTATTGTGAAAGAAAAATTAAACAAAATACGAATCAAGTTATGATCGCTTAAATGCATTCTTTCTCAACTGTTATGAAATAGCAAAGAAAATAACATTTAAATTATCATTCAAACGTATTTAAGAAATTGAAAGTTTGAAAATATAACCTTAAAAGACGTCGCTAAACAATTTAATGTTATAAAATGAATGAATGAATTTGTAATTTTGTATTGAAGTCAAAATTCTTCTTTGTTTAAATTGTGCTACTTTTGTGACAAATAATTTCATATTCAGTGTTACTTCCTTCAGGTGATGAGTATCTTACATTCTCAAAACCATTTTTAAAACTCATGTTTGCCCTTTCTAGAGATGGAAAAAAATGTTCATTTATGAGGCATAATGTATCTTTAGAAAATATAAAATCAACTGTAATGTAATCATTTGTGTGCTGGTCGGGGGAATGTAAGATGACGTTCATGCTAGTTTTATGTTATTAACAGCATCATTAATAACGAATCATCGAGTTTTCTTTTGTTAGTTTTTGTTTTGTATAAGAATAGTGTTTTGATAATATAATTATGAAGCAGAAATAAAAGAAATCGAATGAACATTTACTTTCTTGATTGTAATATGGACCAATATATATATATTATTTCCGAAAAACACGTTGTTGATTTATTAGAATTATACACAAGAAAACATTGTATTTCTTACTTTAAATTCCTCAGCAGTATAATAGTCTGCGTAATCCTCTAAACTATTATTTTTGTCTATTGTTTCATTATCTCCAACATTATATTCCATGTTTGTACCTAACCTTTCACTAAAGCATTTATTTTATCACAGTAAAGTTTATTGCCGAAGTATGTTGAGTAGAGAATCAATGAATAATAACCATATCTTTTTCGAATTATATATCAATATATAATACTGTTGTTATTTTTATGCTGCTTAAAAGTAATCAACAACCTGGTTGCGGGTGTAACAAGTTAAATAAGATGTGAGTCGCAATAGGATGTCGTGTGATTAAAAGGCAGAGCTCAGTTTCCAATACTTCTATTTTCACAGACACGATGTTGCTCACTCGTATATAATCAAATGACAGTTTTATTTGAGATATATTTTAGATATATCCAACACATTTCATACGCTTAACATTGTAATCTTAACAAGTATAAATCAGGTTGGGCCAAACATTAAAAAAATTGTATCGTCTCTGTCTCTTAAGCTTACTAAGGCGTAATACCACGTAGCAATCTACATACTACTGAAGGTATATTTGACATACAAATCTGGAAACAAAGTGATCCGTCAACCTTTGTTTGACATCATATAATATATACAATCATATTTATACAACGAACATAAACCATAAATATTGAAGGTAGCAATAATCTTTCTTGAATTATTTAACGTTCTATAGATGAAAGGTATTCATTATTTATTTGTATTTTTTATTTATTCATTTTTAGGGGTGGAGGGATTTTGTCACAGTTTCTGATGTTTTTCCCAACTAATGCCAAACCGAAATAAAGCTAACGATAAGCAATTTTAGTAACACTATTTTGTCATGACATGCTACTGCATAAGTGTTAATTGTAAAATTTTACAGTATTTTAAAGCAAGATATAATACATATTATACAATTCTTTTTCACGTTATTAAATGTTACTTAAATTTCTATATGATCGTATTCATAAGATATTTGTATGCTTGACCATTATATTAGAAAGTCAATCTTTGCCTCAGAAATCCGTATTTTTGTATTTTATTGTTTAGAAATGTCAAACATGTGCTTAATAATGTTTCAATTGACTTCAATATAAAATACACATTCACTATAATTACACCAATTGCTGATAGAGATAGATACTTTTATTTCCTCCAAAGATGAAAATTAGTAAAATTTTGGAAATTGTAACAAAATACCAAAAATAAAGAATTTTTGAGAAATAAAATAAATAGCATTTCTAAGGCACAAAGTGCCTTTAAGTGTAAGTTTTGTTAACATATGCATTTAGTAGGATGTTCATATAATCATATCTATCATGTATGCACATATATAATTATTGGAATATTTTAATGGTAAAACAATGTTACTCGGATAATCATATCATTATGGGCTTTTTAACTTGGTACATTAAAAGATAGCTTAAGGAATTTTCATTTCAAAATTTTAGAGAGTAATTCATATTAGATTAGAATGAGTTATCCGAGGTTTTTCCTTCCCTCTGTATAAAATGCAGCGGGTATATTTAGCAACATTGAAATGTACATTTTAATAAAATCGCAAAAATAAACAATTTTACATTCTTTTGTTTGTTTGTTATGGGTTTTACGTCACATCGACACAGTATAGGTCATATCGTGACGTTCCAGCTTTACTGGTGGAGGAAGACCTCAGGTGCCCTACCGTGCATTATTTCAGGCACAAACGGGCACCTGAGTAGAACCACCGACGTTCCGTAAGCTAGCTTGATAGCTTCCTCACATTAAAGAATCCAAAGTCCCTGTCGGGATTCGAATCCACAGCGGTGAGGGGCAAGTGGTTTGAAGTCAACGACCTTAACCACTCGGCCACGGACGTCCCAATTTTACATTCTAAGCAGCAAGTAAAATATTTATAAACAATCTAAAATATCTTAATAAAGTTTAAGAAGTTGTTCTGTTGGAATCAAAGACAGGATGCTCAAAAATGACTTGGAAAAATTGGGAATGCTACTTAACTCGTCATAATTAATTTGTAGCGTATACTTACAACTGCTAGCGCCTACTTGTTCATATCATTTGCGAGGAAAAGCTAACAGTAAAAAAATACTTTTCATTATTGCAAAATAGCCTGACAAAACCGATAACTCCACACTCAACGCATTTTATTAATTAAAAGTTAGTGTCAAACATTGCTCATTTCATTATTTATTAATTATTTATCGCATAGCTTTCAAAACCTTAAACAAACCGTAAACAACCATCGATACAGATGTGCAAATGTTTTGACTTTTAGAAACGATATAAATTTATTATTTCAGGCATGTCAAATATTGTTTTAAACATTCGGAGCGTTAAGGTCCAAGAGAAAACGCAGGTTGGACTTCAGAAGCAGTTTGGTCATTTTATTAGCATTCATATTTTTCGTTAATTTACTGTCAATAAATCATTGGCTTGTAAAGTGAATGCTATTATTAACATTTTGCAACTTTTAGTGTTACTATCATAAAGAAATGATGAGAAATGATATAAAAAGGAAAATAATTGTATAATACTCAGTCTTGATCCTATTTACTAAATTAATTTTAAGGGAATTGATAAAATAAATACTGTTAATTACTTTTCAAATATATGAAACTAACATTACGATGGCCTACCTGCCTGATACAGAAAAACATAATAATGTGGTCATGAGAATAATCAGTTAATTAAGACCCAATAGAGCTTTTAATTTTTAATGCGCCAAGTGTTTGTTTCTAAAATAAATAAATACAGAATCCCTAAAGAAAGCCCAACACGGCAAAATTGAAAATGTTGCAGGCTCGGTTTGATTGAGCCTGTTCATGGACGGTACTGGAAAGTGCAAGTTACCGTCCACGCCCCCTAGCACCGGCTTAAGCAGAATTCAACATTTAAACGTGAAATAGTACAATTTTGAATTTAGAAACATCCGCAGATGTGTTCATACGGCGGTTATCATGGAACCTTCAATGTGACACGTAAGTGCCATTCCATGCAAAGCGGCGTATGGTCCCCAAGTAATAAAAAACGTGTGCCCTAAACGAGAAAACAATGGGCGGAACTAAATAAAATGGAATTTTGAAAGGGGATCAGAGGTTATGAAGCCTGCGTATCACAGATAAGACGTCAAAAGACAAATTTAAAAAGCAGGCAACATATCCTAAGGGTTATTCAACATTATTCAAGTAGGAATATTGGAACCACCCAAAACTGAATCTTGTATTGAACTGAACTTGTATGTTTTCCTTTTATCAATTGTTCATAGGTCACTTTAATATGTAAGGATTCCATTTAATTATCTGCCCAGTGTGTTAAGTGGCATTTATTTGACTTAATGTTTTGTTTTATTTTTTCATTTGACTTTTTTTTTCACAAAAAAAAGTTATAACTATATTACAATTAATATAGGAAATATGTATTTATAACATGTTGCCAAGGTTATTATTTGTATTCACCTTTTAAAAGCATTATGTTTATCTAAATAAAATAACTAAACACTAGGTTTAAACTGGCTTACTATTTTACAAGCCGAGATAAAGGTGTGACATTAATATATTCATATATTTTCACAAAAAGCTTATAAATATGTTAGAATTGATATAGGAAATATTTGTTTGAAATGTTTATAAGGTTATAATTTGGTATTCACTGTTTATCAGGGCTATGCTTATTCAAATAAAAATGACTAAACACTAGTTTTTTTACTTTTTACTTGGCTTTCTATAATACCAGTTGATAAGTCGATATGATAGTCATATATTCATATTTATTTTATGCTTTTCAGTGGATTACTGATTTATCCGTGAAAATTATATTTGGTAATTTCACAGTGAAAATTATCAAAATATAATTTCACTCTTTTCAATGACGAAACTACTTTTTTTAAGATTTTCCCCATGTGGTACCTCAATTTTATTTTTGCTGACAATTCTGACAATGTCAGGCTGTTTAAAGAAAAAGCAAAACTGAAATTGATAAATAACTTAAATGTCAAAAGTAAAATAAAAAGAAAAACTTACTTCTATTCATTCAATTCATGAAATTCCAATCACAAATTTCGTTTTTTTGTTTCATTTGACAGTCTCAAAAATTACATTCCTTCCCCATGCAAAACTGCTCTTGATGACATTTGGGCATATTAAAGTATCCTACGAGCAATAACTGCCGTATGCTTTATGAAAAATTGAAAGCATTGACAGCCATAACTCGAAAGAATAAGTTAAATCAACCCAGCGTTCTTGAGCAGGTTTCCAAGTTTTCCATTTTCCTAGCTCCTTTTCTGAATGTTTTCACATCTGTCAACACTTATTTTTTGTCTGTTACAATCCTCAATAAGTTTTCTTTCTTTTTAAAAATGTGTATGACTAACAAATCCAAATTATATCCCTCTGAATCTTACACAATTATTTTCCTCCCATGAAATACACAACTTTAAAAAATGGCTGCCGCTTACAATTTACAAAGCCAGGTCTAATATAAATTCGCACTAAGTAACAGAAATATGGATGGATGGTTGGACTTTTTTCTCCTACAAGAATTGTTTGTTTTTATTATCAAAACAAGCGATCATTCATATTTTTTTTAATAAAAATTAATAAATATCACCGTCATTTAATGTTGATTGGCGGACTTATTTTTCAGCTCAAGACTTCTTTTTTTTAATTAGAAATTCCGAATAAATGGGGCTCTCAATGGGGGAAACAGTTTTAATATTAACGTTAAAATTATGGAAATTTCGTTTTAACTTGTTTTTAAGCATAAAATAAAAAGAAAATTTGTCTGTTTGTTGTGTAAGATGTAATTTTATTTCATCTCGTGAACTTTAAAAACAGTATTCTCACTCGTGGCTTCGCCACTCGTGAGAATACTGTTTTTAAAGCCCACTCGATGAAATAAAATTTCATCTTACACACAAACAAACAAATATCCTCTATATAATATGTAAACAGGTAAGGTATACTAAGCTAGCTGTTGAACAATTACAGTAGTGGTACCATGTATTTGCTACAGAAAACTTCACAGAACTAGTAAGGATCGAATACAACAATGTAGCTTCTCCTTCAATGATAATCTATATTTGATGATCACTTGCTTTTTATCAAAGGTATTGCCAAATAAAACACTTCAATAGGTTCCCCTTTAGGCTAAGGGATTCTCTTAAAGGGCTGAGGCGTTAGAATTGCAGTCATCGTTTATCCTTCGGTGATCGTGAGATGAGACTATATGGATTCGAATTATTGGAGTCTATGCATCTCTTACCTCTAGCAAGTGAAGTCGTTTTGAATCCTGGTGTTGCCTTAAGCCTGTAACAAGCGAGGTTAGCCACAATAATCTTTTCAGTTTCGGCGTCATATAAACTAAA